TGCCCCAACAGCCCCTTAAGGCTACACGGGGGATCTTTGTTCTTGGTTAGGGTGGGGTGGGTGGCTTGAGTTGAACAAACATCGGACTCAGGATTTAAACTCCCGAACCTCTGATATCTCCCCGAAAGCTTTACCCAAACCGCCCACTCCCTGAGCAAACCTGACCCAGCCAGCAAACATCCCTGTTGGCCCTTTGGAGCGCAAACATTGAAGTAGTTAGCAGCAGTAGTTTGCCCATCAATCCTGCAGGCAGGGACGTTCACGGTAAGAAGGATCCTTTGCCTATAGGCACTGGGAGTTCACTCAGTGTTGTCGGTCCTCCTGGCCCGGCGTCAAACGCCTCCGCTGATGAGGCAGCCGATAGAAAAACCGTGGCCACCGGGTTCAAAGTTTTGCTTGCTTTGCGCCCGCTGTGGCCGATGAGAATGTGTAGAACAAAAAATATATATCCGCTGAAGTTTGACGTTTTTGCGGTGGCTTGGAGATGTTGACTCTCTCGCCGGGTAACCAGGAGGTCGTGGGTTCGATCCCCTGACGATGCCTGCTGGGGAGGGGGGTGGACTTAAACCTGGTGTAAAATAAAAGTGTATAATTGTATTTCAAGAATGGTCGTCTAAGGCACAGAGTCAATCGGGGCGTGCGTGTCCCGGCGTCAATCTGACGAAGTGAAAATCCCCACGATGACGGTGGTGAACAACTCTTGCGACTCGATTGAACGGCAAGCGTTAAAATAAATGAACGCGAAGTTGATTACCTCCGCTGCGTGGTACACAGGTACTCCTTTGTGTACGAACATTCAAATAACGAACTTTTAGATATGCGAACAAACGCTGTCCCGTATATAGAGTTACCCATTCGGACCGAGAGTCATAATTTCAACCGCCACGCAATAGATGGCGGTGGTGGCATCTACATCTGCAGAACGTGAAGAACCAGTGGCATCTACATCTGCAGAACGTGAAGAACCAGTGGCATCTACATCTGCAGAACGTGAAGAACCAGTGGCATCTACATCTGCAGAATTATAAGAATCAGTGGCATCTACATCTGTAGAACGCGAAGAACCAGTGGCATCTACATCTAGAGAACGCGAAGAACCATTGGCATTCACATCTACAGAACATGAAGAACTAGTGGCATCTACATCTGCAGAATTTGAACAACCAGTGGCATCTACATCTGTAGAATGCGAAGAACCAGTGGCATCTACATCTAGAGAATGCGAAGAACCATTGGCATTTACATCTACATAACGTGAAAAACCAGTGGCATCTACATCTGCAGAATTTAAGAACTAGTGACATCTACATCTGCAGAATATGAAGAACCAGTGGCATCTACATCTGCAAACAAACATTCCCACCAAAAAACATACGCCGCCATTTTCTTTTGTTATGACAAAATGGCCACCGAGGCACATGCCACAAAAGTTTGGCTACTAACGAACAGCTAACGATTTTTAATTTCACCAGGTAAGTCCCACTGAGCTACACTGAGCTCTTTTTCAGAAGCAACCTGGCCACACATTATAGCTCAACGAAATTGGCTTAATCATTATCGTGTGGAAATTTATAGCAGCCAAATAACTCTTTAAACACGTGACGTCGATTCTAAATGTGGAGGAACCAACTGGAGGGCCCAGAGGAAATCCACGCTGGAGAGAGAGAAACACGCAGTCTGCGAATATACAGCAAGCATCAGGGTCGGGATTATAGCTACGACCTCCTGCATACCAGGCGAGGTAATTAACATCTTTGAGTCACCGTGATGATGATGAGAGAGAGACGCAAACTCCAAATACATAGCAGCAGGCATCAGGGTCGGGATCGAACTCACGAACTCCTGTATACCAGGCGAGGTAGTTAACATCTCCTAGCCACCGTGATGATGATGAGAGAGAGACGCAAACTCCAAATACATAGCAGCAGGCGTCAGGGTCGAGATCGAACCCACGACCTCCTGTACACCAGGCGAGGTAGTTAACATCTCCTAGCCACCGTGATGATGATGAGAGACACGCAGTCTGCGAATGTACAGCAGGCGTCAGGGTCGGGATTGTAGCTACGACCTCCTGCATACCAGGCGAGGTAGTTAACATCTTTGAGTCACCGGAGGGAGGCAGACGGGGGGGGGGGGGATCCCCCTTTATCTGCACCCCCCTCCCTCCCGCCCTTTAATTACCCTATGAGCAATAGCGGCACAATAACAATAACATACTCTGAATAGGATGGTTAACGGCGAAGCACCTATTTATAGGCAGAGTCATTCAGAGCGCGAAAAGGGGGTTTTTGCGAGAATTCCTTCAACGGGCGGAAGGGGTCCAGGAGCTGTGGTAGGAGGTAGTGGAAGGCAGGAGATCTCGTAGTTTACCCCGCTGGTGACGATGGCTGAAGAACAGTGGACGAAGGAAAGCGAGGGAGTTGTGCAGAGGATAACGAGCGCAGAGAATATGAAACAATCGGAATTGGTGTGCTGTACCCTTCTCTGGCAATAAGACAGGAGTTGTGTCAAGATGGTCAAACAGCAAATAAATGTTACCTCTTGCAAGGAATCAAGTTACTGCATTAACCACACGCGGGAATTGTGGTGAACATCCAAACACACGTGCATTGTCTTTAATAATAATGTAATCATAATGTATTACATTAAATTTCGAATTAAAGCTTTCGTGACTGCAGGGATTAATCTTCTTGGTTCTTTCGGTAAAGTCACGTAGAAGGGAAGTAATAAAATAATAAAAATAAAACAATAAAATACAATTCTCACGACGTTTCGGCCACAACGCAAGCAGCCGTCCTCAGGTGAAGAAAAGGGGTTTCGGAAAGACAGCGTTCTTATTATGGTTTATTTTTGACCCAGCTTAAAAATACGCTGCCAAGCTTAGCAGTGTTCATTAGGACGCTGTCGTTCCGACAGCCCTGTTTCTTCACCTGAGGACGGCTGCTTGCGTTGTGGCCGAAACGTCGTGAGAATTGTATTTTATAATGTTTTATTTTTATTATTTTATTATTTCCCTTCTACGTGACTTTACCGAAAGAACCAAGAAAATGTATTACATTGTCTTTAATAACAATAATGAATGTATGGGCATTGTCTTTTAAACTGATTGGTCTACACCAGAGACAGCAGCGGGCCTTCTTCATGGCCTAGTCTCACCAGCAGTGTCAGACCAGAGGACAACGCCAAAAGGCGGACAGGACAAGGACAATGCCACGCGTATCAGAGCATTAATAGCTCGGCATCGACCAGCAGCTATACCATGGGGATACACTTTTTGCCAGTATCAAAGTACGATGAAAAATAAGCCGAGGTTGTGTACCCTTTCTGGCAGGAAACGGACACCGCTCAGAGGTTTTTCTTGAGCTTGCCCGGTGAAGATTTCGAGGCGGGTGCAGTGGGAGATCGATGCCAGACCCCCCACGACACTGCAGGGTAGAGTGTCGTGGGGGGTTTGGTGGCGACGAGAACCGGACGACAACCAAAGGTGCTCGTCGTCGGATCGTGGGGAACCCGGCGACTCATCTGCCGGAAGGGAAGTGGTGGGGAAGGGGATAGCCACGCGGGTAGGTCCCTCGTCCCGGTGCCCATCATGATTCGGGGCTTCGAATGTTGCGAGCGTCCGTAGGATTTGGTCGTGGGCACATAACCCGGTGCTGCTCGCAAGGCAGCGGGTCCCGCCGTTAACACTGAACACCCGGGATGCCTTAGGATGCCTTGGCCTGGCCTAGAGATTCTAGCAATGATGCTTTGGCCTGAACCACAGAGATTCTGGTAATGACTCCTTGTTCTGGCCTACAGAGATTCTGGTAATGACTCCTTGTTCTGGCCTACAGAGATTCTGGTAATGATGTCTTGGACTAGCCTACAGAGATGCTGGTCACGATGTCTCAGCCTGGCCTACAGAGATTCTGGTAATGACTCCTTGTTCTGGCCTACAGAGATTCTGGTCACGATGCCTTGGCCTGGCCTAGAGATTCTGGGCATGATGCCTCAGCCTGGCCTACAGAGATTCTGGTCATGATGCCTCAGCCTGGCCTACAAAGATTCTGGTCACGATGTCTCAGCCTGGCCGATAGAGAATCTGGTCACGATGCATTGGTCTGGCCTACACAGATTCTGGTCACGATGCCTCAGCCTGGCCTACAGAGATTCTGGTCACGATGTCTCGGTCTGGCCGATAGAGAATCTGGTCACGATGCATTGGTCTGGCCTACAGAGATTCTGGTCACGATGCCTCAGCCTGGCCTACAGAGATGCTGGTCACGATGTCTCAGCCTGGCCTAGAGATAATCTGGTCGTGACTTTATCCTTGAGACTAACTTCGTCTTGACAACTGGGGAGCATCTCACACGAACACTGAACTATAATGAAGCCTTAGGCTGGCTGGCTGTATGTATGCCACCCCTTGGTATTAGCACCGAACTATCCAACTCCTTGATCATTGGTTTTCTACCCTTCTATCTGGCAACAAAACTGACACCTTTTTTACAAGGAGTCATATTTACATAGACCACAATACCTGCGGTCGGAATGCAAACAAAAAACACAACTCTGATAATGTATACACTGTCCTTGAAATTGATTGGTCCACACCCGAGACAGCTTTTCTTAGAGCCTAGTCTCACATGGGCGTCATCTGGTCCAACACCATGTGAGACTAGGCTCTAAGGAAAGCTGTCTCGGGTGTGGACCAATCAACTTCAAGGACAGTGCACATTATCAGAGTTGTGTTTTTTGTTTGCATTATGACTGCAGGTATTGTGGTCTATGTAAACATGACTCATTTTAAAAAAGGTGTCAGTTTTGTTGCCAGATAAAAGGGTAAAAAAAACCAATGATCATATTTTTACTGGCAAATTAGGTTCCAATGGTATCCAACTCCTTAGTGTCTGGCCCACCCCGTGAGCTCTGATAGATGCCGAGGAAGCCTGCTATCTGGTGAGTGGGCCTCTCTCTCCGTGAGCGGAAAGGAAAAAATCTAAAACAAAAGATTGCTAACGTCGCATTTGAACTCCTTTATTTGATTTGAACACGCACGTAAAAAATATATATTTATACACATTACACATTTTTACACGGGCACAAAAAATAGAAAAACGTACGCTCAGATAAAAGTCCTGATTCGTTTACCTTTGCGTCCTAAATTAGCGTAATGCAGACCGTGCCGACATTCCAAGTCTCTGGTTTAAAAACATTGCCGCAGATTTAGATATTTGTTTTATATTTACAATGAATCCATTCAAATGAACGTTACAATGATGGTTTAACGCATATTAAGTAGTAGTTGCGATGTTATCCATAATAGAGGGTTTTTTGGGGGGGTTAGATCGCTTATAAAATATACAATGTGTCGTTAATAGCATCATTGCCCGACAGAGCAATGACGACTGATGAAACGACCCTTCGTGGTCAGGTGGGATGTGGAACAACAGCAAACCAATATATGTGTATCTGCTGTACTTTTATACAGTTTTGCGATGAATGTCGAGAGACAAACTATGTTTTGCTACAGGTTATGCCTGCCATTGTTCCACGCATGAAGCCAATGGTTTGTAGTTTCATTTGAACTCACTTTTCATGCCCACCTCTAACCATTATGAAAAAAACAAATATAACATTTTAATGATTCTCAGTATTATTCGATTTTATACTGCCAATATCATCCCGAAAGCATTTAAAACCAGCGTTCCTACTGTCACGTACATTAACACAATGTATTGGGACTGTATATAGGGTGCGGGATTTTTAAAAACAGAATCGTGGCTCCAGAAATCACGCGATTGGTTCTTTAGCACGTGACCGTGTCACATGCGCATTCAGTGAAATATACATTTTGTTATCAGAATTTAAGAATAGGTTTTACCTTTCTGGCAATAAAATAGAAATCTTTTGCAAGGAATCATGTCTGCATTAATCACACAGTACTTGTGGTGAAAATGCAAAATAAAAAACATGCTCTGGTAGTATATTATGCATTGTCTTTGAATCCGATTGGTCAACACCAGAGACAGCTTTCTTTAGAGCCTAGTCTCAAGCATTGTTAGACCAGAGGACTATGCCAAAAGGCGAACATTTTGTCACCTGTAAAAAACGATAAGATCACGTGGTACGAGCGACTCCCCAGGGCCACGTGGAGCTCTTCGAGGCCACGTGGCACGTCGGCCATATTGTTTCTCGACAACCGACGCCCCACCCGGAAAAAATATGTATTTTTAAAAAAGTAGTGCCACGCACGTTTCGCCAAACGTTAGAGCCTCTTTGTCTGTCTGTGTTCGGTTTTTGTTAAAGTGCAAAAAAGATCGGTTAGTGTTAAGCGTGGTGGGGGAGGGGGTAGGAGGAGATAATATAAAATATTGAGTCAAAGTAATCGGATAACATTGGGTCGGCGCAAACGGAGCGATCGTTCAGAGTCAACGTCATTGCGGAGAGAAAGGCCGGGGGGTGAGGGGGGAGGGAAAAGGGGGGCTGCCCCCCCCCCGCCCCACGCAGACCCCCTACCATTCTGATGGTAGCGCCCTGGTGTGGCACCACAGCCACACCATACCCACACCACCACACCGACACCACACCACACCAACTCACATCTCACCCAAACCACACCCACATCAGACCCACACCACACCAACCCACATCTCACCCACACCATACCCACACCACCACACCGACACCACACCACACCGACTCACATCTCACCCAAACCACACCCACATCAGACCCACACCACACCAACCCACATCTCACCCACACCATACCCACACCACCACACCGACACCACACCACACCGACTCACATCTCCCCCAAACCACACCCACATCAGACCCACACCACACCAACCCACATCTCACCCACACCATATCCACACCACCACACCCACACCACACACCACACCACACCCACATCAGACCCACACCACATCCACACCACACACCACACCATACCCACACCACACCACACACGACACCATACCCACACCACACAGCATATCCACACCACACCACACACCACACCCCAGAGTACCTCCCAAAAACCTGCATGGGAAGATGCAGCAGCTGCTGCCCTCGGACGCAGGGCCGGATCTTTCAAAACGCGACAACCCCATTGATCAATCGCTCGCTACACCCCCATCGATCTATCGCGACACCAACCCACCATCGATCGATCACAACACCCTCCACCATCGATGGATCGATCGCGACACCCTCCACCATCGACAGATCGATCGATCGATCGCGACACCGCCCCGATTGGTCGATTGACGACGCCTACTGGCAACGGAACATGACGTGGCCTCTTCCAACAGAAGTTGGGAAATCTGGTGGGCGGATGCGAGGGGAGAGGAGGGAGTGTGAAGATATTGGTGGCTTTCTCAAGGTACCGCATCTTCCTCCTCCTCCCTTCCACTCCACCCCGCCCAGAAGGGCCTCTTCCACCAGAAGTTGGGAAACCTCTGGGTGGCGGGGAGGACAGGGCAGGGCAGGATGTGGTGGTTTTTGGCTTTCTCAAGGTGCCGCCTATTCCTCCTCCTCCCACTCCACTCCACTCCACCCCACCCAGAAGGGCCTCTTCCACCACAAGTTGGGAAGCCTCTGGGTGGCGGGCGGCTGGGAGGACAGGGCAGGGCAGGATGTGGTGGTTTTTGGCTTTCTCAAGGTACCGCATCTTCCTCCTCCTCCTCCCACTCCACTCCACTCCACCCAGAAGGGGCTCTTCCACCACAAGTTGGGAAACCTCTGGGCGGCGGGGAGGACAGGGCAGGGCAGGGCAGGATGTGGCGGTTTTTGGCTTTCTCAAGGTGCCGCATCTTCCTCCTCCTCCCACTCCACTCCACCCCGAAGGGCCTCTACCACCAGAAGATGGGTAACCTGGTTGGGCGGCGGGGAGGGGATGGTGTGGCCGTTTTGGCTTAGTCAAGGTGCCACCTTTTCCTCCTACTCTCACCCCACACCACCCCACTCCACCCCACACCACTCCACTCCACCCCACATCACCGAGTCTCTCACACCAGAAGATGGGAAACTTGCGGGCGGCGGGCGGCGGGCGGCGGGGAGGGCGGTGGTTTTTAGATTTCTCAAGGTGCCATCTCCTCTTCCTCCTACCACCTCACCACCACCACCACCAACCACCACCAACCACCAGACCCAACGAGACCACCACCACAGCGCCCGCTTAGGCTCAGCCTCGAACTCATTTCTTTGCCGCCGCTTCGCGTCACTCGAGGAGGAAGGATCCGAAGAAGCTGGCCTCCGGGTCGAAGTCGACGAGCGTCGGGTCGGACACGGCGATGAAGAGCTGGTCGCCTCGGCGCAGCGAGAACACGCCTCCCAGTTGCACAGAGTGGAGGCCGTACTGGGCGGAGGCCGACCAGCACTTGGTCTGTGCCGCTTTGGCGAGCAGCAGGGGCTTGGGGTAGTGGTCTGTGCGCTTGTAGAGGTAGAGCACCATCGTCTGGACCTGCCGCTGGCGGGCCGACAAATCGGATGCGGGACCGGAGGCCTCGTGATGGCCCCTGCAAGCGTACGGATGGACGGACAGAGACGTGTGGCTTCAGCGAGACAGTCTGAAACTTAATGTCGCATGGACGGAGGCGCAGACAAACAAACGGAAGGACAGAGACGTGTGGATTTAGTAGGACAGTTTGAAACAAATGTTGCATGGACAGGCGCACGGGCGAAGAAACAGACGGACAGAGACGTGTTGATCTAGTAGGACAGTTTGAAACAAATGTCGCATGGACGGAGGCGCAGACAAACAAACAGAAGGACAGAGACGTGTGGATTCAGCGAGACAGTTTGAAACTTCATGTCGCATGGACGGGCGAAGAAACAGACGGACAGAGACATGTGGATTTAGTAGGACGGTCCGAAGACAATCGTCGCATGGACGGGCGCACGGACGAACAGACGGACGGACAGGGACGTGTGGCTTTAGCGAGAAGGTCCGAAGACAAACGTCGCGTGGACTGGACGCGCGGACCAACGGACGGACAGACATGTGTGAACTTGAACTAGTCAGACGGTCCGAAGAAACACGTCGGACAGACATGACGACACGGGAGAGGGGTGCGCGCACGGACACGTTTGCCTTTCGTGGCTGCGGCCAGCCGAAGCCGCGCTGCCGCCCGCTGCCAGGGGTGTGGGGGGGGGGGGTGGGAGGTCACCGTCCCTCACCTGTGCGAGTCCCCTTGCCGCGTGCTGAAGCGGAAGTAGGTCTGTGCGTAGACGTAGTAGGAGCCGTGCTGCCGGGCCGTGAGCGTCGCGCCTGTGAAGTCCATGTGCTGCACGTGGACCGAGCCCAGCTTCTCCTCCCAGCTGTACAGCACCTTGCCGCTCTGAGCACCCAGCAGCTTCTGCAGGTGTTCGCCTGGAGTGGGAGGTGGGGTGGGGTCGACGGGTACGTTCGGTTTCTCCCATCGGTGCCGCAGTTTTGCTTCTTGTTTGAACGGAACGGAAAAACTTGGCGAGGGCCACCGGCCTCGGCACGCTCCGTGGCGCGTCGCGTTAACCGGGGTGAAGCGGCGTGAACCGTTTGAAGGAGGAAAAAAAATTTTGAAAATTGAAAAATTGAAAAATAGATGGGGGGGGGGGGGGGGGCGGGGTGGTGAATGGGCCCCACTGCTGCCCCAACCAGGTGAGAGTAGCAATCACGTCGGGGGTGGGAAGGCGGGAAATTTCCAATGAGAGAATCAGAATCTGTATTTGTTACTGTGCAGGAGGAATCCGGTGGGCTGTGAAGATCTTTTTTTTGTTACCGCCACAGATGTCCCAGTAGGGGCCACGTGGTTAAGAACGCTACAACAACAAACACGGCTGACCACCACGGAGAGAGACACCGCAAACTCCAAAATGTGCGGAGTAGTATGTTGATGCTGCTACTACAGCTGCCACTAGTCCCTTCTCAGAAAGTACCAAACTTTGTGCGTTCGATAAACCGCCATGGTTCCCTGCGCACGACTGCGTATGTCAGGTCAGGCCCGGGACTTTGTTGTTGCATCAGCTGGGGAGGTCACGTTGAGAGGAGAAGCTTGCGACCCCAAGCCCGGGCGTCGCCATCGTCAGCAGAAGCAGTTAACGGGGCATTCCAGTTACGTATGGAGTTGCGTAGATATCCAGAGGGTTCCATAGAGATCCATAGGGTTACATAAAGATGCAAAGAGTTGCACAAAGATCTGCAGGGTTGCACAGAGACCGACAGCGTTAGAGATCAATGTCTCCATAGCGATATATAGAGTTATGTAGAGATGCATAGGGTTACACAGAGATGCATAGGATTACATGAAGATCTTATAGAGTTGCATAGATATCCACAACTTCAAAGGCAAGCTTGCATCCAAGGCCCCGTGTGTGTTCGTTGCTGTGTATAGTGTAGTGTATAGTGTAGTGTATAGTGTAGTGTATAGGAGTGTATGATGAGGGGTTGACAGGTATGTAATTGTGTAGTGTATAGTGTAGTGTATAGTGTAGTGTATAGTGTAGTGTATAGGAGTGTATGATGAGGGGTTGACAGGTATGTAGTTGTGTAGTGTATAGTGTAGTGTATAGTGTAGTGTATAGTGTAGTGTATAGTGTAGTGTATAGGAGTGTTTGATGAGTGGTTGACAGGTATGTAGTTGTGTAGTGTCTAGTGTAGTGTATAGTAGTGTATAGTGTAGTGTATAGGAGTGTATGATGAGGGGTTGACAGGTATGTAGTTGTGTAGTGTATAGTGTAGTGTATAGTAGTGTATAGTGTAGTGTATAGGAGTGTATGATGAGGGGTTGACAGGTAATACGGTCGCTCCCTCACCTTCACGAAGTTGCGTAACGGTGGCATCCCGCGGTTGCTTGCCCGTCACGTGAGCGATCGGCCGTTTTCTGGAGGCCGTGTGACCCAAACCGCCCAATGGGGACGCAGGATTCGACGACGATGCTGAAGGGGAACAGTGGTGGCGGAAACAACAACAAAAACAACAAAAACTTAAAACGCGGCGACATTTAGACATAAGAATATACTACCGGAGCATGTTTTTTTGTTGTTGCATGTTCACCACAATTATATGTGGTTAATGCAGACATGATTCCTTGCAAAATGTTTCAGTTTGGTGTATTAACATCTTGACACAACTGTGTTATTGCCAGAAAGGGGAAAACCTATTCTTATATTTTGATACCGGCAAGGGAGGTCCCGTGATTACATTTAGACACTCGGGCCCGTAGCTTTGTGCGTGCACGCGTGCATAGATTGCGACTGAAACGCAAATGTTTAAACTCGATAAAGTTAATCTACGGGGTTTGTTGTTGTCAATTTGTGTGTAGAGGAGGCCATCTTGACTGCAATGGGAACAAAATGGCCGACGTTACCATAGCGATGATGTTTAAGCAATTACTTTGAAGAGTGTGCGATTTTTATTGCACACAGCAAATCGTTCGAAGATTTATGTTCATTATTAACTTGACCTTGTCATCGTGACGAAATTTTAATTGAGGGAATATGAGAGAGAGGGATGAGTAGCAACCACCAATAGGGGAAACAAAATGGTCGACGTCGCCTTAGCGATGGGAGCTTTAAAGAGTTTAACATTGGATTACGAGCCTCATTTAATCTCATTAAAACTGCACTGGTTACAACTCAATGCAGTTTTGTATCGTTTTGTTGTTGTTGTTTATTAAGAATGTAACACACCTGCAATCGGGTCACCAAGTTGGCTTGACATGATTTCTCTTGATTTCTGCAAACAGACGCCCGTTACATTAAAACCCTCCGTCCCACTCATCACCACCATTCACCATCGACAAAGACAAAGATCCCCCGCGTAGCCTTTAACGCGCTGTCGGGGCAAGTGCTGTTCGTGAGCAGCGTCTATGAAGGCCGCCACTGTGGCACGCACGAGGTCGATGGACATCACCACCTGCCACACACCGCACCAGGTGACTCATTTGAGGCTGAGTCGACCTAGGGGGAGGCCCAGGACCGGTTCAGATAATCGTCACTGGCGGTGTTGGCCGTGAGCGGGAATCGAACCCGGGTCGCCGGGTTCGTAGCATAGCGCTAACCGCTACACAACCACTACACACCCACAACAACAACAACAACCGCCATTCGCCACTAAGTGGCGGTGACGTCACCACGACGCTTGTGCCAGGCCATGTGCACGTTGAGGCCACGTGAAGTGTCGAACGCCCGCTGGCAGGAGGCCACGGGGCAGACCCGGCAGGTGCCACGGGTCGACTGACACACAAGCACACGCACAGACACACGCACACACATGTACACGCACACGTACACACGTACACACACACGTACACACGTACGCAGGTGTGAACCCTCACCTTTGCGATATGATTGTCCATGTAATAGAGGAATTCTTGGCACAAGAGGTCGTCGCTGTCGGTCAACGAGAGGCATTTTTGCAGCTTCGTCGCGGATTCCTGACGCACCTACGTGTCGGAATTACAGAAAAAAGTGCGAGGCATGTTAACAAATCATCACCACCACCACGATCCAAGGGCAGATAAACCGTAGGTGTCCCACCGCATATTTCGTCGTCTGTTTTACACGTTTATCTCTGTGTGTGTGTGTGTTGTTGTGCCAAGATGCTTTACTTCATCAGGTGTCTGCGTGTGTCTCTCCTTCTCATCATCACGGTGGCTAGGAGATGTTGACTACCTCGCCTGGTGTACAGGATGTCGTGGGTTAGATCCTGACGATGCCTGCTGCTGTATATTTGTAGTTTGCGTGTCTCTCTCTCTCATCATCATCATCACGGTGGCTAGGAGATGTTAACTACCTCGCCTGGTCTACAGGAGGTCGTGGGTTCGATCTCGACCCCTGACGCCTGCTGTATATTTGGAGTCTGAGTCTCTCTCTCACTCATCATCACCACGGTGGCTAGGAGATGTTGACTACCTCGCCTGGTCTACAGGAAGTCGTGGGTTCGATCCTGACCCCCTTACGACGCCTGCTGCTGCTGCTGTATATTTGCAGTCTGCGTGTCTCTCTCCTCGTGGTCGCGTGGATTTTTGTTCTCCGGGTCCTCCGGTTTATCCCTCCACGTTTAGAATCAACAGTCACGCGTTGAGATTATTGAGATTATTTTTGACTGCTCATAAATGGTTCCAATTGATTGATGGTGGCCACTTTTGCTGAACTGTCATTTTTGGTGGCCAGGTCGCTTCTGAACAAATGTGTTCATATTCTTAGGGTTTTTCGGTAAAGTCACGTAGGTAAAAAAATCTAAATTAATAAAAGTAAAATAAAAAAATATTTTTTTTATTAACTTTTATTAATTTTAATTTTTTACCTACGTGACTTTACCGGAAAAAACCTAAGAATATGAATACTTGCAGTCACGAAAGCTTCAAATCTAGAAAAAAATGTGTTCATACCCTCGGTGGGGCTTTGCCTGGTAGGATGTGGCATGGTTTAGTGATGTATTGTTTGTGTGTGTCTGGGTGACTTGTGTTGACCTTTCATGTACTTTGCACTACCGTCTAATCGTGTTGTTGTCGTTACGTTCTTACCCTGTGGCCCCTGACTGGGACATCAGTGACAGGAATAGCTCTGTAGCTTATTGGATTCCTCGTGCAGTATATACATGAATAGTCTGACATTTGTATAATTATCATCACGGTCCGCACCCACTCCATTATGTGCGACTGCACTCATCCAGGACATAGAGCTGCATGTGCATTTTCGCTCGCACCAAAGTTTGAAAACGTAAAAATAGGTTTCGCAAAAGGCACCAGTGAAGATGTTCCGACCGCAAACAGCTGATATGCTTCTTCTTGGTTCTTTCGGTAAAGTCACGTAGAAGGGAAATAATAAAATAACAAAATAAAACATAATCAAATAATTCTCACGACGTTTCGGCCACAACGCAAGCAGCCGTCCTCAGGTGGAGAACAGGTAGAATCAACGCGTTGAAGACAGACCTGTTCTTCACCTGAGGACGGCTGCTTGCGTTGTGGCCGAAACGTCGTGAGAATAATTTTATTATGTTTTATTTTATTTATTTTATTATTTCCCTTCTACGTGACTTTACCGAAAGAACCAAGCAGATGAATCCCTGCAGTCACGAAAGCTTTAAATCTAAATATAATATTATTATATTATTGTTTTATTTTATTATATTATTATAATAATCGAAATATGATATGGTTCTTGCGTGGAATCAAGTTTTGCGTTAATCACACACGGTACTCGTGTGTGCTGATCTTTAAAAGTGCATTGATACATTTTTGATACTCCTACTGATTGATACTCGTGCTCTTATGGAGTGACTCATGCTGCCAGCGATGGCCTGCAAAGTGTGGTCGTACGTGTTATGGATTTATTTTTCGATGTAAAGCTTTCGTGACTGCAGGGATTCATCTTCTTGGTTCTTTCGGTAAAGTCGTCACGTAAAATGGAAATAATAGAATAATAAAATAATTCTCACGACGTTTCGGCCACAACGCAAGCAGCCGTCCTCAGGTGAAGAACAGGTCTGTCGGGGAGACAGAGTCTGATTTATTGTTAAATTTTAATCACGGTTCCTGTGATCGTTGTTGTTACATTGTTTTTTGTCGCTTTGTTTTGGTGATTTCGAAAACGTTTTGGTTTAGCCACGTTTGTTTGTTGTAGTACAGAGTTAGACTGGTAACTTTAATCTAAATTGGCTTACGATTCATCTTCTTGGTTCTTTCGGTAAAGTCACGTAGAAGGGAGATAATAAAATAATAAAAATAGAACATAATAAAAAAATACAATTGTATTATTTTATTGTTTTATTTTTATTATTTATTTTATTATCTCCCTTCTACGTGACTTTACCGAGAATAAAAATAGAACATAATAAAATAATACAATTGTATTATTTTATTACGTTTTATTTTTATTATTAAATTATTATCTCCCTTCTACGTGACGACTTTACCGAAAGAACCAAGAAGATGAATCCCTGCAGTCACGAAAGCTTTAAATCGAAATTATCTTACGGTTGTTATTGTTTGACTTGCATCCCACTGGGACTTTTTTGCACGCAGCGTTGAAACGCTGTGCTTTTTTCTGGAAGACGTTGCTGCTTTTTCCTGGATTTCCCTGTTGCATCATCCTCACTTTAAGATGTTTCTTTGTTCACGTGTTTGTCTGTTGCGGTTGCACCCGATTCAAGAGCCGCATGGCTCACAGGGCTACACCAAATACATGAAACTGAACTTGTGAACATGCAAAAAAACATTGCTCTGACGAAGATGATGATAATGATGATGATAATATTTGGGCATCGTCTTTGAAACGGACCGGTCTACACCAGATGATTGCAGCCGCCGTCTTGATGACCCAGCCTCAGCAGCAGTGTCAGGCCAGAGGGGGGCAAAGCCTCAAAGACGAACAGCACAAGGACAATGCCCGTGTGAGTGCATTCTGGGACCTCGCCCCAATAGAGACAAAGATCCCCCGTGTAGCCTCTAACAGGCTGTGGGGGCAAGTGCTGTGAGCAGCAGCTATAGACACACAGATAAAGGTCCCCCGTGTAGCCTCTAACAGGCTGTGGGGGCAAGTGCTGTAAGTGAGTTGCAGCAGCACTTACAGACACAAAGACAAAGGTCCCCCGTGTAGCCTCTAACAGGCTGTGGGGGCAAGTGCTGTTGGTAGCGAGCAGCACCTATAGACACACAGACAAAGGTCCCCCGTGTAGCTTCTAACAGGCTGTGGGGGCAAGTGCTGCGAGTAGCAGCAGCACTTATAGACACACAGATAAAGGTCCCCGTGTAACCTCTACCAGGCTGTCAGGGCAAGTTTTGTGCAGTGCCGGGAGTCGAACTCGTCTCGTTTCTGCCTCGGGGTTCGTAGCACACACAGAGACAATGATGCAATCACACACCCACCCCTCACTCACTCCCCCCTCGCCCACCCCCTCATCCACCCACCCACCCACCCACTCACTCACCCACTGACTCACCCACTCACTCACCCACCCACTGAACCACTCACCCACCCACTCAACCACTCACCCACCCACTCAACCACTCACCCACCCCTCACTCGCCCGCCCCCTCGCTCCCCCCACCCCCTCACTCACCCCCCACCCCCTCACCCACCCCCTCGCCCACCCCCTCATCCACCCACCCACCCACTCACCCACCCACTCAACCACCCACCCACCCACTCAACCACCCACCCACTCACTCAACCACTCACCCACCCACTCAACCACTCACCCACCCACTCAACCACTCACCCACCCACTCACTCACCCGTCCCCTCGCTCACCCACCCCCCCCACCCACTCACACACCCCCTAACCCCCCTCACCCCCCACCACTGCGGTGTTTACGAGTTTTGACTGCCCTGGAAATCCCCAGGTCTGAGCGAAGCGACTTTTGAGTTGAACAATACAGCCAACTTCCTCATTCGCGACATTTAAGTTTGAATGCTCCCCTCTGCACAAAGGACCCCCCCCCCACCACCACCACCCCCTCCATCCCCTCCACCCCCTTGGCGTATCCCCTTTATCGAACCCTTTCGGGCAAGGGGGTTTTGGGGGCAGCTAGTGTGAGGTTTGAATACTGTTTTTAAAAAAATATTTTTTGGTTTATTCCAGGATTCATACTCTTAGGTTTTTTTTCGGTAAATTCACGTAGGTAAAAAAATAAAATTAATAAAAGTAAAATAAAACAAATTAAAAATTAAAAAATTATAAAAATTCACGACGTTTCGGAAGCAACACAATTTTTTTACCTATTTGGTGACTTTACCGAAAAAACCTAAGAGTATGAATCCTTGCAGTCACGAAAGCTTCAAATCTAGAATTATTCCAGGATGTTTCTGTTTGCGCGTCGTCACTTTAAGATGTTTCTCTGTTCGTATTCTTGTTTGTTGTGGTTGTTGTGTTTGTTGTGGTTGTTGTGGTTGCACCAGACTTAAGAGCCGCATGGCTCACGGGGCATTACCAACTAAATAAAACTTGAAACTTGAAAAAGTTCCAGTGGCGTGGTTACCGTGCAGGCGAAGACGTCGCGAGTTCATTCATTATTAAATAAATGTTGTTGTTGCTGTTGTTGACCAATCTCATTGGTGGGTGGCTACGTACGGTGCTAAAGAAGTCCAGCACACACACACACATTAGCACGTTTGGCTCCGAGGCAAACGCCACAATTGGCAGAAGAAGGCCCCACGCCTATTGCTGGGCCAGTAACGAATGTTTAGACTCTGGTGTGTTGCATGTCTATGTATGGTAGTGGCGTCTCTCTCTCCTATCTCTCTCCTAACTCTCTCTCCTATCTCTCTCCTAACTCTCTCTCCTATCTCTCTCTCCTAACTCTCTCTCCTAACTCTCTCTCCTATCTCTCTCTCCTAACTCTCTCTCTCCTAACTATCTCTCTCCTATCTCTCTCCTAACTCTCTCTCCTATCTCTCTCCTATCTCTCTCTCCTAACTATCTCTCTCCTATCTCTCTCCTAACTCTCTCTCCTATCTTTCTCCTAACTCTCTCTCTCTCCTATCTCTCTCCTAACTCTCTCTCCTATCTCTCTCCTAACTCTCTTTTCTATCTCTCTTTTTTTATTTTCGGTGTAGTCAGCACTTTGCTTCGTTCATAATTTTTTTCTTTTTTTTCAATGTTTTGCTTTATGTGCCCCCTCCCCCACCCCCTTTTTTAAATTAAATATTTCACAAAATATTTACTGTGTGCCCCCCCCCCCCCACTCTCTCTCGTTCCCTCTCAATCTCTCTCTTTTTTTTCTCTCACTCCTATCTCTCTCCTATCTCTCTCCTATCTCTCTCCTCACTCCTATCTCTCTCCTCACTCCTATCTCTCGTATCATCTCTCCTATGAGAGATGATACGAGAGAGAGACGCCACGACCTTACATAGACATGCAACACAACAAAATCTAAACATTCCATTGGACCCAGCAACAGTCCTGACCCAGCAAATCCATTCGCTCCATCTTCAGGAAACTGTGGGTGGGGTGGGGGGCCTCTTGCCTGGCTAACAAGCGCCGTGACCTCAAAACGATGAGAAAGATGCTGCAAAGTGACACTGACGGCCGCTCTGTGCTGCTTCCAGTGTTCAGGGGCCTGCTCAAGGCGCGGCTCCGGCTGGAGCACGCCACGTACCACACACGTGTCGGTGATGTGCACGTCTTCTTCGAACGCTGGGGGGCCGGACAAGCCCCTCTATGTACCAGCGTGGACGGCACCCTCGTGGTGTTCACCTTCTGATGAAGCGCTCGCTCATCACCGTGGCGTGCGCGATGACCACCACCACTGCCACCACCACCACCACCTTCACCACCACCTCCACCACCATCTCCACCACCACTTCATCCACCTCCACCACCATCTCCAACACCACTTCAACCACCTCCACCACTTCCACCACCTCCACTACCACCACTTCCACCACCACCACCTCCACCACCACCTCCACCACCATCTCCACCACCACTTCATCCACCTCCACCACCATCTCCAACACCACTTCAACCACCTTCACCACTTCCACCACTTCCACTACCACCTCCACCACTTCCACCACCACTTCAACCACCTCCACCACTTCCACCACCTCCACCACCACCTCCACCACTTCCACCACCATCTCCACCACCATCTCCAACACCACTTCAACCACCACCACCACCACTTCAACCACCACCATCTCCACCACCACTTCAACCACCTCCACCACTTCCAACACCTCCACCACCACCTCCACCACTTCCACCACCACCACTTCCACCACCTCCACCACCACCACTTCCACCACCATCACAACCACCAGCACCACCACCACCGCCACCACCAGCACCACCACTTGACTTTTCTTTCGTGTTGTGCGCGGTGCATTTAGTGCCACAGCCGCGTGGATTTATAGCGATTGTTCATTTGTGTTGCTGGTGACTTTGTGCGTTTTTTCGTATCGGAATCGCATCCAGTGTTGTTGCTGCTGCTGGCGGCAATAAAAGTTGTTTAAAAGTCTCAAAGTCTCTCCCCTCTCTCTCCCCTATCTCTCTCCCCTATCTTGATCATCATCGCTGGTGTTGACAAAGACAAAGGTCCCCCGTGTAGCCTCTAACAGACTTTCGGGGCAAGTGCTGTTAGTAGCGAGTAGCAGCTATAGACACACAGGCAAAGGTCCCCCGTGTAGCCTCTAACAGACTTTCGGGGCAAGTGCTGTTAGTAGCGAGTAGCAGCTATAGACACACAGACAAAGGTCCCCCGTGTAGCCTCTAACAGACTTTCGGGGCAAGTGCTGTGAGTAGCGAGTAGCAGCTATAGACACACAGGCAAAGGTCCCCCGTGTAGCCTCTAACAGACTTTCGGGGCAAGTGCTGTGAGTAGCGAGTAGCAGCTATAGACACACAGGCAAAGGTCCCCCGTGTAGCCTCTAACAGACTTTCGGGGCAAGTGCTGTGAGTAGCGAGTAGCAGCTATAGACACACAGGCAAAGGTCCCCCGTGTAGCCTCTAACAGACTTTCGGGGCAAAGTGCTGTGAGTAGCGAGTAGCAGCTATAGACACACAGGCAAAGGTCCCCCGTGTAGCCTCTAACAGACTTTCGGGGCAAGTGCTGTGAGTAGCGAGTAGCAGCTATAGACACACAGGCAAAGGTCCCCCGTGTAGCCTCTAACAGACTTTCGGGGCAAGTGCTGTGAGTAGCGAGTAGCAGCTATAGACACACAGGCAAAGGTCCCCCGTGTAGCCTCTAACAGACTTTCAGGGCAAAGTGCTGTGAGTAGCGAGTAGCAGCTATAGACACACAGGCAAAGGTCCCCCGTGTAGCCTCTAACAGACTTTCGGGGCAAGTGCTGTGAGTAGCGAGTAGCAGCTATAGACACACAGGCAAAGGTCCCCCGTGTAGCCTCTAACAGACTTTCAGGGCAAAGTGCTGTGAGTAGCGAGTAGCAGCTATAGACACACAGGCAAAGGTCCCCCGTGTAGCCTCTAACAGACTTTCGGGGCAAGTGCTGTGAGTAGCGAGTAGCAGCTATAGACACACAGGCAAAGGTCCCCCGTGTAGCCTCTAACAGACTTTCGGGGCAAGTGCTGTGAGTAGCGAGTAGCAGCTATAGACACACAGGCAAAGGTCCCCCGTGTAGCCTCTAACAGACTTTCGGGGCAAGTGCTGTGAGTAGCGAGTAGCAGCTATAGACACACAGGCAAAGGTCCCCCGTGTAGCCTCTAACAGACTTTCGGGGCAAGTGCTGTGAGTAGCGAGTAGCAGCTATAGACACACAGGCAAAGGTCCCCCGTGTAGCCTCTAACAGACTTTCAGGGCAAAGTGCTGTGAGTAGCGAGTAGCAGCTATAGACACACAGGCAAAGGTCCCCCGTGTAGCCTCTAACAGACTTTCGGGGCAAAGTGCTGTGAGTAGCGAGTAGCAGCTATAGACACACAGGCAAAGGTCCCCCGTGTAGCCTCTAACAGACTTTCAGGGCAAAGTGCTGTGAGTAGCGAGTAGCAGCTATAGACACACAGGCAAAGGTCCCCCGTGTAGCCTCTAACAGACTTTCGGGGCAAGTGCTGTGAGTAGCGAGTAGCAGCTATGGACACACAGGCAAAGGTCCCCCGTGTAGCCTCTAACAGACTTTCGGGGCAAGTGCTGTGAGTAGCGAGTAGCAGCTATAGACACACAGGCAAAGGTCCCCCGTGTAGCCTCTAACAGACTTTCAGGGCAAAGTGCTGTGAGTAGCGAGTAGCAGCTATAGACACACAGGCAAAGGTCCCCCGTGTAGCCTCTAACAGACTTTCGGGGCAAGTGCTGTTAGTAGCGAGTAGCAGCTATGGACACACAGACAAAGGTCCCCCGTGTAGCCTCTAACAGACTTTCGGGGCAAGTGCTGTGAGTAGCGAGTAGCAGCTATAGACACACAGACAAAGGTCCCCCGTGTAGCCTCTAACAGACTTTCGGGGCAAGTGCTGTTAGTAGCGAGTAGCAGCTATGGACACACAGACAAAGGTCCCCCGTGTAGCCTCTAACAGACTTTCGGGGCAAGTGCTGTGAGTAGCGAGTAGCAGCTATAGACACACAGACAAAGGTCCCCCGTGTAGCCTCTAACAGACTTTCGGGGCAAGTGCTGTGAGTAGCGAGTAGCAGCTATAGACACACAGACAAAGGTCCCCCGTGTAGCCTCTAACAGGCTGTAGGGGCAAGTGGCTGTCAGCCCCTCTGCAGGCCGGCACTGTGACACACACAGAGGAGGTGGGTGACCGGCACCACGCCCGGCCGCCTTTGTCTCTCCCCCAGTGGTCGACGTTTTGACTTCACACAAGAGGCTCAACACGCACACACACACACACAGCCACGGTTGGCTACGCGCTTCGCGAACGACGTTCAAGGTCACTCACCTTCTGCAGGGAGAGCGTGAAGTAGCCAACGAAACTGGCGGTCGCGAGCAGTTGCAGCAGCACGAGGGTCAGAGCGACCACCACCAGCCTCTTGGTGGTGGTGGTGGTGGCCGTGGTGGTGGTGGTGGTGCAAGCTACGGATTTGATTGACACGAGTGGCAACTCTGAGCCAGATCCATCGCTGCTGGTGCTACTGGTGCTGCTACTGGTGCTGTTGTTTCGGCCGCTGACGCCACTTTCGACAAAGGAGGCATCACTCCAAGTTGACTTCGAAGCCATTTTGCTCTGCTCCGTGTCTCTTCTCGGATGCAGGCTTGGGGTGTCCCGGTGGCACGCCTGTGTTGGGAGCCGTGGGATGCGTTGGGATGTGTGGGATGTGTGGTGTGGGATGTGTGGTGTGGGATGAATGGGATGTGTGTGAGTGTGGAGGGAGCCAATTGATCGCTTGGCTCACAGCTGTGGCAACACTCGGCACACACCACCACCACCAACACCACCACTGTCTGCCCGCATGTGTCAGAGTGGTTGTGGTTGTTGTTGTTGTTGTTAACTGTTGCACTTAAGAAGTGCAACAGTCAACAACAAACAGCGTCGCCTGCGCGCGCGCGCGTGCGTGTGTGTGTGTGCACGCGCGTGCGTGTGTGTGTTTGTTGTTGTGTTGTTGTGTTGTTGTGTGTGTGTGTTGTCCTGTGGCTGAGCACAATGCATTAATAGCGCTCGGTCCGAGTGTGCTGCGTGGTATGATGATGATGATGGTGGTGATGGTGATGATGGTGATGATGATGATGGTGGTGGTGATGATCTGATGCACACACACACGCACGCGCTCACACACACAGAGAAAAACCCAAAACGCACCAACGCTTATATACTTTGGAAGCCACTCCCATTTGAAACGCGTCACATTTCAGCCACTCACCATTTCAGGCACTCAAGGGCCTTACTTTGCATTCTAAGGAAACGAGAGTGCTCTCACGATCGAGTTGGGGAGGGGGATGTTTTGTTTTGGAGAGGTTTATATTTCGATCGCGTAAAGCGTGGATCTTGGAAGATGCGTCAACGTAAATTTACGCGATCTAACCCCTAACCAACATCCAAACAGACGATAAAAACCACCCACACACACACGTACCCACCTGTGTTGTGTGTTGTAGGTGATATTGGTGACGAAATCATCCTCCTCCGAGCAGCGCCGCATGAAGTTATAGTGTGGGTCCTGGAAGATACGATGTTATAAAGGGGGCCCTAGATTTAAATTAAAAAAACACATAAATATGAAAAAAAATATTCTTGGTTCTTTCGGTAAAGTCACGTAGAAGGGAAATAAAAATGTTTTTAAATATTTTTTATCTTGTAAAATAAAAATATTTAAATTAATAAAATAATATTAATGTAAAATATTATTTTTATTATTTCCCTTCTACGCGACTTTACCGAAAGAACCAAGAATATGAATCCCTGCAGTCGCGAACGCTTTAAATCGAAATATTAAAACACATTTAAAAACATGTAACTCACGCAATAAACTTATTGTATGTTTTTAATTTGCTATACAGCCGGATAATACGACCAATCGTTAACCTTAAACACCCGGTCGTTCGTAAAACTCGAAGGACGGTATAGTACTATCAAGTTCAAGTTCATTGATTAGGTGTAGCCCTGTGAGCCGTTCGGCTCTTGAATCGGGTGCAACCGCAACAAACAAAAAACAAAAACATGAACAAGAAAACATCTTCAAGTGACTAAGTGCAAACAGAAAATCCAAGAAAAGACAGCAAAATGTTGCAGAAAAAGCACCGTACACCAACGCTGCGTGCAAAAATCCCAGTGGGATGCAAGTCAAACAACAACAACAACAACCACAAGACAACTTAGATTAAGGCCATCAGTCTTACTCCGTACTACAACAAAACAAACATGGCCAAATAAAAAAACCTTTCTAAAATCACCAAAATAAAGCCATAAAAGTCAAACAACAACAATAACAACAACCACAAGACAACTTAGATTAAGGCCATCAGTCTTACTCCGTACTACAACAATACAAACATGGCTAAACCAATACACTTTTCGAAATCACCAAAATGAAGCCATGAAAGCAATGAAAAAGCAATCATAGGAACTGTGACGGAATTTTCACAATAAATGACATAAACAACATGTACTACCAAAACCCTGCAGCCATAGCTGGCTGTATGAGTCACTCCACAACAGCAGGAGCATCAGTCGGAGTATCATAATTTTTCAATGCACCTTTAAGATCAGCGCACTAAATCAAAACACAGGTCATACTTTGCAGCGATCATCCGGAGCGAAACATTTTATTTTAGGCCACTGAATATCACTGGCAGCTAGGGGTGTACAACTCCTCTAGAGCATCTTCTTGGTTCTTTCGGTAAAGTCACGTAGAAGGGAAATAATAAAATAATAAAAAATTAAACATAATTAAATACAATTCTCACGACGTTTCGGCCACAACGCAAGCAGCCGTCCTCAGGTGAAGAACAGGTCTGTCGGGAAGACAGCGTCTAAATATACGGTCCAAGCCTGGGGGTGTTTCATTCAGACGCTGTCTTCCCGAAAGACCTGTTCTTCACCTGAGGACGGCTGCTTGCGTTGTGGCCGTAACGTCGTGAGAATTGTATTTTATTATGTTTTATTTTTATTCTTCTATTATTTCCATTCTACGTGACTTTACCGAAAGAACCAAGAAGATGAATCCCTGCTGCAGTCACGAAAGCTTTCACTCGAAAATCCTCCAGAGCAGTTTTGAGTGAAGATCTTATAGGTAGTGAATCAAGTTGCAATTTATTGGCAACAGCATTCCAGACCCTGGAGCAACAGAGAAAGTGCAGAATCACTGAATCGGAATTGATAGTTCTCGATTCGAAGTTTTCGTGACTGCAAAGATTCATACTCGTAAAGTCACGTAGGTAAAAGAATTAAAATAAATTAAATCACGACGTTTCGGGCACAACACAAGCAATAATTCTAGATTTGAAGCTTTCGTGACTGCAAGGATTCATATTCTTTGCAGTCACGAAAGCTTCAAATCTAGAATTAATGCCCTCTACGGGGAGGAATTCCACCGATCTGTTAAAGTTTTTAACAGACAACGAGACAAGAAGTCACAGCTTCTCGAGACGATGTTTTACCTACGTGACTTTACCGAAAAAACCTAAGAACACAAGCAATCATCATCAGGTGGGGATAACTTAGCGAAAGCACAACACACTTAAGCGGTATGAAATCAGAGGTCGCAACCGGGTACCCGATACCCGTACCCTACCCGAAACCCGGCTACCCGTACCCGGCCGGGTACGGGTAGCCGTTTGCGACCCTGGTGCGGCCGGGTACGGGTACGGGTAATGCCGTGAGTCACTGGTGAGTAACTAGATTTGAAGCTTTCGTGACTGCAAGTCACGTAGGTACCTACGTGACTTTACCGAAAAAACCTAAGAATATGGTGAGTAACTGTTTGTCACTAATTTCGGGTAGGGTACGGGTAGGGAACGGGTACCCGTACCCGGCCGGGTACGGGTATCCATTTGCGACCCTGGTGCGGCCGGGTACGGGTAAGGAATCAAAACCCGTTTGCGACCTCTGTATGAAATACATTAAATCGCGACGTTTCAATTGCAACACAAGCAATCATCATCAGGTGCGCAAAACCACAGCAAGAAACTTTTGATAGCTTGAAAGCGTTGCGCGCGGGAGCGGTGGCGTCGTGGTTAGCGCAGAGCCACGGACCCGGCTAAGACCCGAGTTCGATTCCAGCTCACAGCCTACACCACCGGTGGTGACGATGGTCTGAACCGGTACCTGCGGCCTGCCTTAGGTTGGCTCAGCCTGAGATGAGTAACACGGTGTGCGTGTGTGTGTGTGTAGTAAACGTCGCCAACTGGGGAGACAAAGGCGGCCGGGCGTGGTGCTGGCCACCCACCCCCTCGTGTGCCACAGCGCCGGTAGCCTTCATAGACGCTGCTCGCTACTAACAGCACTTGCCCCAACAATCTGTTAAAGGCTACACGGAGGATCTTTGTCTTTGTTGCGTGTGACAGGTGTCTGTGTGTGTGTGTGATGTAGATGGAGTGATGTGGTACAGGAGGACGTGGAGCTGAGTGGACTTGCCGATGACTGCTACCAGCGGTGTCAAGATCGGCCTCAGTGGAGGAGGCTCGTGACGGACGCTACTGGGCAGTTGGAGGCAGTCGCCTTCCAACAACAACGGAGGGCGGAGGAGCGACGCTCACAACAACGAGCGGAGCGCCAGGTGGCTAAAGCACAGCAAGTTGGTACAGTAGGGGGCACAGGTGGTGCATCAGCCAGTCATCTCGGTCATCTCGGTCAGTCGACCCGTGGCACCTGCTGGGTCTGCCCCGTGACCTCCTCCTGCCAGCAGGCGTTCGACACTTCACGTGGTAGCCTCAAGGTGCACTTGGCCTGGCACAAGCGTCGTGGTGACGTCACCGCCACTTAGTGGCGAATGGCGGTTTTTGTTGTTGTTGTTGTGTGTGTGAGAGAGAGACCTATGGGGAGCGGTGGTGTAGCGGTTAGCGCGCTGCACTACGAACCTGGTGACCCGGGTTCGATTCCCGCTCACGGCAAACACCAGTGACGATTATCTGAACCGGTCCTGGGCCTCCCCTAGGTCGACTCAGCCTCAAATGAGTACCTGGTTCGGTGTGTAAACATCGCCGCTAGGGAGACAAAGGCGGTCGGGCGTGGTGCTGGCCACCCACCCACTCGTGTACCGTTCCGGCCTTCATAGGTGCTCGCTAACAGCACTTGCCCCTACAGTCTGTTAAGGCCAGCCTCCACATGTCTTCGTAATCGGTGGGATATTTGTCTTTGTGATTGTGAAAAGTGGAAGTCAGAGGTCGCTTCGATTCGCAGAAAGAGGAACCCACTTATTTGCCATCATTTTGAGAAGCCCTAAAGGGGAGATTGACCCCCCCCCCCCCCCCCCAATAAAACGCGTGGGTAGCTGCCTGGATGTAGCATCATCAGCCGTTGTGCAGTTCCCAGAAAGAGGTTATTTTGTTGCAGCAACAACACACACACCAGGGGGCTCCTCAACTTACGAACAACACATACACCGTGTGCTCCTCTACTTACGAACAACACACACCAAGGATCCTCAACTTACGAACACACACACCAAGGGCTCCTCGACTTACGACTGAGAGGTCTGCTCGTAAGTATGTTCTTAAGTCCAACTTTACTCCTGACGATTCCAAACTCGTTGTACTCAACATTATACACTACTACATTACATTATACACTACTACACTACATTATATACTACAAAACTACATTATAGACTACTACTCTCCATTATACACTACTACACTACATTATACACTACTACACTACATTATACACTACTACTCAACATTATACACTACTACATTACATTACATACTACTACACTACATTATACACTACTACACTACATTATACACTACTATGCTACATTATACACTACTACACTACATTATACACTACTACACTACATTATACACTACTACACTACATTATACACTACTACACTACGTTCACGTTCTGCAGATGTAGATGCCACTGGTTCTTCACGTTCTGCAGATGTAGATGCCACTGGTTCTTCACGTTCTGCAGATGTAGACGCCACTGGTTCTTCACGTTCTGCAGATGTAGATGCCACTGGTTCTTCACGTTCTGCAGATGTAGATGCCACTGGTTCTTCACGTTCTGTAGATGAAGATGCCACTGGTTCTGCACGTTCTGCAGATGTAGATGCCACTGGTTCTTCACGTTCTGCAGATGTAGATGCCACTGGTTCTTCACG